GGGGGGGGGGGGGGGGGATGGATAATCTTAGGTGCCTCTTTTCTGCTACATTTTGAATTGCAGTGATGCTACAATTATAGGGACACGTCCGATGCTGCTGCTACATACACCAAGATCCTCACAAGGAGCCCTGGGAACTTAACAGATGAGACAGCGACCTTGACTAACATCAGTAGGACTTGCTGGAAACAGAGAAAACCAGGTGTGATGGCTAGCATGGCAGGCAGGGCCTCTAGCTGAGCTTTGGATCCTGCATTTGCTTTCCCTCCTCGATGTCCACGGACAATGTTATGCAGTTACGCGCGACAGGCCACATGATTTTGGCCGTTGCGAGTAGATATCAGTGGGCCCGGGAAGAGTTTCTGCAGCGATGCTATCAACAGCACTTTGAGATGAGAACCGGTCTTATCAAAGCGTTTTGGAAACTTCATTATATTTAAGAGACGGGCCACAGTAAACCTTATCCTCTGAAAAGCTCCAGATCCCAGAAGAGATGTAAGCGGAGCAGCCATGGTGATGCCAATCTCCAGATAGCCATCTAGGTGGCAGGTTCGATTCTGGGCCACGTATTAGGCCTAACGGAGCTTCTTTCCTGGTTCAGATACAGATGAAGTCTGCCAGGACTAGCTGTTTCAGTGAGACTGGTGTCGCACGCAGCATTATTCTCATGCAAATTGTCTCATCTTGGGATAAAGGCACCTGTCAAAATGACGATCTGGGAGCGACTTTCACGAGCACAAGATTTCAGTGCTGGCGAATACCACCAGCCCCGAACGGGCTTCAATCCCAAATCGCATCTCAATGCGAACCTGAACCAATCTACCTCGGCCAGAAAATAGTTCCCATGTGCGTAATTATGTGGGACAAAAATATCTCTGAAGTCTTACCCTGCAAAAGGATCAAAAAGCGGCAAAAAAAACCTGCCAACCCTGAAGACAGACTAAACCGATTTTAGTTAATCAGGATGCATCATAACTGGCTGAAAACAAAAAATCCCCAGCATTAAGAGCTCTGCTTATGCTAAGCCCTGGACACCGCTGCAAAATATTTTGTTATAAAGCCTTGTTCCGCCCCAGCAGCGTCACCGAGCACGCTGTGTAGCTGCAAGCCCACAACCCGCCTGTTGCCATTAAACCCAAGTCGGCCTGCAACGTTACCCATGGAAAAACAGCCGCCTGGGCTAATCTCCGGGGTCTTTTTGTGGCACCTGTTTCATATCGTTGGCGCTGGTTTGCTAGCCGGGCACCGGGCACCGGTGCCTTAGATGGTTCGTTAAGAACAGGATTGCCAAGACGTGACTAAGCCACTCGACGGGCACTGGGACTCGGGCTGGGCGCCCCGGTCCCTTCCCCAGCCCCTGCTCCAGGGGGGCTTTACCCGCTGGGCTGCAAGCGGAGCCCGTCCCAGCCAGGGGCCCGGCCGGTGCGACATGCCGGATGCAAAGCCCGGTAGGAAGAAGCTGCGGGTGCAAGCCCTTCTGGCGGGGCAGGGGTGGCGCGGGGAGAAGGGGGCAAGGCAGGGGCAAGGGTCCGAGCGGCAGCGCGCGGGGCAGGGGCAGGGGCGCCGGGCACCCACCTTGACACTGGAAGCCTTGCTTGCCGAAGCCCCTGCCGAGAGAAAGA